TTGTTTCTGGCTCTCTTTTTTTCAATTTTGGGTGCTCCCTCCCTTTCTCTCTTCTCTTCCTCTCCTTTTCTACTGTCATCTAGTTTTTCTGCTCCTTCTCCATGCTCTGTTTTTCGTTTTATCATCCCCGTGCTCTCTCTTTCATTCAATTTTTCTTTCCTCCATCTCCTCCCCCTTTTTTTCAGTTTCAGATCCCTTTTAAAGCAGAAACAGGGAAGAGCTTGCGTGTGAGGAGAGAGTTTACGTGCTTTTTCGCTCTGCTTTGCTGTGTGCATGCATCTGAATTTTCTTTTGCATTTTTCTATGCTCATTTTCAGCTAGTGTATGGGTGCTGTATTTCTGCTTTGTTTCTTCTCACTTTTTCCTTGCTGTTCTGTCTGCTTTCTCTTGCTTCTTCTGCGCCTGGCCGAAAGTGTGTGTGTGTACATGTGTTGTGTGTTTTGATGCTGCATGTATCTGTTTCTTTCTTTTTTTTAGCCATTCTTTAATTCCTTTTTTATTAATTAGATTGAGCGAGAGAAAGAAAAGTCTAATTTTAAAACATATATTTTTTAATAAAAAATAAAAAATTTGAGAGAAATTAAAAAAATAGTTGAGTCTCAAAAAAATTGATTCCCAATATCTTTGAATGGTTGGGATAATTTGGGAGAGATTTTAAAAAAATTTAAGCAAGATTTTTGATTTTGTTAAATTTTTTAAAAATATAATCCTAAAAAAATTTTTTATATTTTTTATATTTTTATTATTAAATTTAAAAAATGTTCAAAAAAAAATACGGTGTTCACAATAGAAACCTAATTCAAAATTAAAAAAATTAGAACAACGTGTCGATTAATTTTTCTTATTTTTTTGTGAAAGGGAAAAGAACAGTAAAGGCAATTTAGTTATCACATATCACACTTTTTTTCTCTGCAAGCAAGTAGGAGAATTTTGAACTTCAGAAAATTTTTAAAAATTCACATTTTTCAATATAAATAACTTTTATTTTGATTCTTTTGGATAATTTTCCAATTTTTCATTATCCTACCCTTGGAAATTTTTTAAGAACGTAATTAACATTTTTATTCTTAAATATTATAAAATTTGTGAAAAAACAAGTACGTAAAAAATTACTTTGTTTACTTCAAAAAAATTAATGAAAAAACCACTTCAAATTTAATAATAAAAACCACTACACGTATTGTTTCATTAAGACACCTATGTCTTTTTGCAAAGACTGCAGAAGCCACATCGTCTTACTAAATCCAGCTATAAAGTTAATATAAAATAATTTATATAGATGGAGTCCTATAATAATACTAAAACTTAAATGATAACCAAGATGTTCTTGTAGAAAAAGGAAAGTCCTTTGAAAACACTTCATTAGAGTTGAAGTTTTCCAATTTTTGCAAATGAGAATTGTCTCCAAAAGTGAATAATTGATCCTTTCTAGGAAATAATTATTTATAAAGATTTTTGAGATCTAACTTCTTAAAATTTTTAAACTTTAAAAATCAACTTCGTTAAAATCTCTTCAAAAAGAAAAGTTTATTCATTGTTTGAACAAGAAGTTGTGACCAAACTTGTGATTTTGATATGCCTGATATGTAAATATTGATCTTTAAAAATTCAACTGCTCTTGATGTTGCCTGATTGAAGACATCCTAAGGACTAAAAGATTTACCTACAAAATATTTTTAGTTTTGAAAAAGACCAAATTGTGTCTAATATATAAAAAGGTAATATATGAGACACCAATGAATTATCTTTATAAGCATGAAAACACCAATGAATTATCTTTATAAGCATGAAAAAGTAGCTAGGCTTTCAACCAATTGAGCAAGTCTCAAGAAGGTTGGCAATCAATTCTAAAATTTAGAAGACTTTCAAACCAACAAGCTTGAGAAAAACTACATTTGCATGAAAAGATGTTCTAAACTCTCATCATTTTGATTATAAAAAAATACAAACTTCATCAATTAAAAAATAATAAGAATTTAAGAAAGATGAAGTTGGAAGATGTTTTCATGCAACTTTTCAAAGAAATACCTTAGTTCCTTAGTTCTCAGTTACATTTTTAAAGACTAAATAAGAGACCAGTCTATAAAAAGGTGTGGATCACACATAACAGATTGATGACCAGTGGCGAAGCTAGGGCCTCAGTTCAAGGGGTGCAATATAATTAAAAACAAATAGTTATAAAAAAATAATAATTAAAAATTTAAATTTATATATTATAATTATGATTTCATTTTTAAAATACATTGAATATGAAATAAAAATAAATAATTTTTAAAAATGTGTTGTGAAAAAATTGGATTTGATATGTGAAAATGAAAAAAAGGGATGTTCAATATTAGTGAGTTTACAATTTATGTTTAAAGTTTACAATTTATATATAAAAAACTATTTACATAAAATATATTTAGATATAAATCAAAAGTAGGCGGCTTTAAATAATAAGTGTAAGGTGTATAAAATATCAAGGATACAGGAGATGTAAAAGATTAAATCTTACACAATCTATTTGTAAAATGACGTATTTCCATTATTTAATGTAAAATAAAAAGTATTTTATTGAATGAATATAAAGCATTAATAGTCCATGAGACTTTTATGTGTTTTTAATTTCTCATCCCTATTTGACAAGACTTTTAACATTCAATTTTTTCAAATTTCTCTCTCCCTTTTATCACACAATGTTCTAGGTTTTATGATTAAATGGTGTAAAGCATTAACACCTCATTACTCACATTGAATTACACCTAAATTAGGGGGTGCATTTGCCTCCGACTTCAATGTGGCTTTGTTACTGTTGATGGCAAATCTTATAATTATCTTTAATAATCATTTAAAATTTTTTTAACTCTTAAATACAATTAAGTGATTATTAAAAGGAATTGATGTTTTTAAAATAGATGAAATAGTAGTAGATGAATATAACTAATTAAACAAAGATATATTCCAACAAAGAAAAGAGCACAGAATAAGATTAGATACATTTCTTGAATGTATATCACCTGACTATTGCAAGGCTACCAATGCCTATTTTTCAAAGAAATTATCTCACTATTTCCAAGATTTCAATAAAGATTATTAGTAATGATATTACTATATTTCACAATATCTTTTTAAATAGGTGAAGCACATGATTTTTGAAATGAGAGTAAAAGGATATGTATGCCTAGCACTTTACTAAAGATAGTTTTACTGCTACTAATAATTCCCCAGACATGCTTTGTTAATAAAGCACAGTTGAAAGCTTCAATGTTTTTAACATAAATATAACTATATTGCAATTTCTAACTATAAATGATTGACTTGCTAGTGCAATGCATGTAGTTATAAGAATGGGGGCTTACAGTGAGTGAACATGCCGTGGGAGACGCATGTGATTTGTTTATCAGAAATGATTATACGGAACTTTAGTCACGTGTCTTTGATTTCTATTTGCTGTTCTAGTCCTCCGTCTGTGATATTCTATCGGAATCTAAAAAAATTTTAAAACTTTTTCAAATCTTGTCTCAAACTAAAATGTATTTTTAACATTATTCTTATTAAATATACATTCCTTAAAAATACAACACTCTAACATTTAATAAAAATAAGTACAATAATTATTGAGATACCTTATAAATAAAATTAAAATAAATATTTTCTCAATCTTATAAATAAAACCATCAAGTACATTTTAACATTGTTTTGCTCTATATTTGATTATTGGTAGCTATTGCCCATAGGGAGACATAGGATAGAAATTTAGGTCAGTATGTTGATTGAATTAGTAAACCATTAAACTTGTATCTTAAGTGGTTAAATAAAATATTTTGTTTATAATTAATTTGATTACAGTTCAACTATAGTTTTGACTAACAATTCTTAAATCAATGCTTTAATTGGTTCAATAATCAGCTTTATTTTAATACATAATTAGAAAGTCAACTTGCAAATCACATAATTAGAACACGATTTTTTTCCCTTATTAGATATAGGTGTTCTCTTATAAAAAATACTCTTATTTGAAACATAATCACTAGAATTCAAATGTTAATTCTTGATATTATAAAACACTGGCTCAATATGCTAGAATTTCTCTCAATTTCAATCTTGGCACAATACTTAAAGCTTGCTTTAACCAAAAAAAAATCTTAATAATCAGAATGTCATGATGTAAATACATTTGTTAGTATATTACTCAAAAATGAAGAAATAAATTATAGGGGTACACATGGGGTAGGTCGGGCCGACTCCATCCTAACATATTGCTCGACTCCATATGCATATTCAAGCATTGAGCCGCCTGAATATTTGGGCCGGTCTATCAAAACAAATCATGCTTATCAATTAGAGATTGGTTAATTTTTTGTTTTTTGTCAATCATGATATGATTATAATACTTCAAATCTTTTATAGTGTCATTTCTAGCAGTGAAAAGCATGAAACCTTGCATCATCTATGTTTAAAATTCTCCAAATTTGTGTCTATTTTTTTTATATATACTAAAATGAAGACATGCTTTTAAATTCAAAGAATATTGATAAAGTTATTTACAATAACAAAATACTCACATTGATAATAAAATTTGATCCAATAATATTGTAGATTATAAGTCAAATTCTTACCTAATAGATCAATATTTGTTGTCAATACGTGCTTAATTTTATCCATAGCTATATGGCTGATTACAATTTATATCAGCACATTTTCATTTAATGGAATAGTGTTTCTTCATGTTCATGTATTCTTGGAGATCAGAGATAACTTTTTTTTAGCCCGACAGAGATAACTCGAACTTAGTAACTACAAATAAAAAATGATGATTTGCTGCATAGACTCGAAACTTTATATTGATCAAAAGATCAAAGATGATAGCTCCAGTGTCTCTTTCTTTTAGCCTTTTTTTCTGTTTTCTTAAATAGTTTTAGGCTTTTAGCCTCAGTTATATTATATTGAACATTGAACAAACGAAAATATTACCTATCTCTTTCAATTAAACAGTCAATCAGATTCCATTCACTGGGTAAAAGAGGGTTCATTATCCCTAAAAACGCTTATGACATTTTTATTCTTCAAAATCCACAAAAATTTCTCAATAAAATTCCACAATACCTAATCCAAAACGTAATTTAAAATCCAAGAAGGCGCTTACAGGCTCTCAGGATCTTGCCTCCTCCACCAGTCTGCTTCTTCTTCTTCTTCGTCACCGATCTTCTTCCTCCGTTTGATTCTCCTTCACCGTCCTCTCCAATCGACGGACCCAATGCCACGTACTGGTCATGGATCCTGCAATACCTCTCTGACACCGACGACGATCTTCTCATTGAGAACGCCCTCTTCATCGTACCCTGAAGCCCGGTCGCCGATGAAGACACCGACGCGCTCCGACCCAGAACCACGCCGAATATCTCTCCATCTGGATGCTCGCCCACAGCTTCTCCATCGTCATCTTCTTCTGCTCCCCCAGGTGAGGATTTCTCCGCCTTGTCCTTCTCGATCTGGTTTGGCTCCTCTGTTCTGGTGATTTTACTGGCGTTTCTGGTCAGTTTTGGGGTTTCAATGAAGGAGAAGAAATCGGGAAAATCTATGGATCTTGACTTGGGAGTGTTGCCACTAGGATTGATCTTGGAATACCCGTTCATCTTGAAATTACATATATAATCAATGAGGAGTAGATATGATAGACAGACAGACAGGGGGGGGGGTGAAGTATGCGAAGGGGCAGAAGAAGCTGTGTAAGTATATATGTATGTGCACAAGAGGACAATCAATGCAGGTGAAGTGTTTGACTGAATGTGTTTGAGAGAGGAAGAAGGTGATAAGGATGTGTGTGTGGTTGAGAATTGAAAAAGTAGATTTGACTGATTTGTAGTTGAAGCTGTGAAAGCTGAGAAACTGTAATTGGTATTATCTGTGTCGTGTGGTTGAATTTGGTAATCTGAAGACTGAAACTGAAAAGAGTGAACTTGCTTGGAAGTGAGGGAGAGAGACAGGGGGACAAATTAAGATAAGGCGATCGGGCAATAGAAAAATTTCTATTTAGAAAATTAAATTAAACTAGATTATAATATGTTCTTGGCATGAATCCACAATGAGTCATGTGGTATATAGCTCATAAATAATGCAACATTTTATACTGCTCGAGATTTATGACTTTCTGCGAGAAATGTGTTTTCTATGTTATAGTGTTAATTCTAACATGATAATTTAAGAAATTGAAAATTTGATGATAAATTCTTGAAATTTAATAATAATAATAATTTATTATGGTGATTATTTGATTAATTTTTTTCAAGGAAGGAACAAGTTCCAAGGGGTTCTTGTGGGCGCGTGTGATGGGCGATTTGGGCATTTGGCATAAATGGTCGAAGTCAATTATTGAAGACAGGTTGCCCTTTTGTACATTTTTTTTCTCTCACCCACATATGACATGTCTCAATGAATTTTGGCGATGTCTTTTTTTTTTTTAATTCGAATTTTATCAATTGTCAATATCATAAGCCAAAATATCTCAATATTAGACTTCTTTCCTTTTTAAATTATAAAATATTTTTAAATATTTGGATGGAGGCTCCCCACTTTTTGTTTGGATGGTAAAAATAACCCTCCCCTCCAAAATAAGGGATAAGGAGGAGAGATGCATAATTTTGTTATATTAGAACTATTATATTTCTATTATAATTTGATAATATAAAAATGTCCCTCCTTTACTTCTTCCACCTAATACTGTCACTGTTTCTCCTTCCATTCAAGTCATTGTCTGTGTTGTAGATTAGGTTTTTTTGCTGAGGCTCCCTTCTTTCATTTTATTTTTGTTATTTTTCTATTATATGTTAATAAATTTACTACTTGTTCATACCTTTATTTTATGAACTATGAATAAACTATTATTGAATGTATTATTTGCAATATATATTCGCCCTCCATTTTTATATATAAAAAGTTTTTTGAAATTTTTTTGTCCCTAAATATAAGAGGTTGTTAGTATTTTTTAATGAATGGACCATTATATCCTTATTAAATTTAAAAAAAGATAAGTACTCTCATTAATTTACTTAAAAAAAAGATATTCCTTTTTTACTTACAATAATTAAAAGCAAAATTAGGATGTTATTATGCTTTTAATTAAATAACTAGCTTTTATTGATTTGCGAGATTTGGTTAAAAACATATTATATATAGGGACGGAGAGAGTATGAATTATGGATAATTATATGCTTATAATTATATATTAAAAACATTAACCACTATATTTTATAAGGAAAAAAAACTTATTAGGATAAGGGTAAAATTGTTTATAAATATTTATTTTTCCTCCCCTCCCCTCCTAAATCAAATAAGGTATCACCCCCCTCTATTAATTGAAACCCCTTCCCTCCATTAAAATATCTCTCTTCCCCTCCCCCCTCGAATAAACAGATCTTTAAACAAAATCACATATACTAATAAAATTTATTAAATACACTCTTATTTTTTAAAATATAAATATAAATTTTCAAAAATTCCTATAATTTAATATTCCATGTGTTAAAAAATATTAAAGAGAGAATATATGAGAACAATAATATTAGAAAAACATTATTAATGAAATTTTATTTTTGATGAAATATCTTATAATTTTGGATACTAAATTTGTATTAAAAATGTTTTATAATTTGGGAGGGAGGGAGTATTATTTTATTCAAATACTAATATCATTTTTTGGGTGATCAAAATATTAATATCTTTCCCTGTATTATTATCTGCATGCTATGCAGATTATCTGGTTTGTTTTGGACTGAAATATCTAGGGGTTTAGATATATAGATTGTTATTAAATTACTTGAATTTGATTTATTAAAATTTCCAATGTACTTAAACTTTATTTATTAAATAAAATAGTGTATCCAGTATCAAGGTTGTTTAATTGAATTATACATTAAAATTTAATTGTCAGTTCATTGATATTTCAAAAATTCATTCAATCAGTAATCAAATATAACCGATTTATCAATATAAAAAAATATAAAACTGAGAATTCATAACAAATCACACTATTGGTAAATTATGAATAATAAGAGTTATTCATTGTATTACACGGAATAATTTTTTTAGCAAATATCAATTATTATTAAAGTAAAACAATTACATGAACCCCCTCCAAAAAAAAAAAGCTAGGTAAGTAACAGTTTTTGGGCCAAGAAAAATGAAAAAGTAAAAAGCAGCAAAAACGGACACGACTAAAATATTAGAGTGAAAACATATGAAATAATAGTAATAAATTATAAAATGTGAGGACATGTTTGGTCTTTGTTTTCGAAAATTGTTTTCTGTTTTTTTTAAAATAAAAAACTTATTTGAGTAAGTGTTTTGAATTTAATTGTCTTTAAAACTGTCCTCATTTATTATTTTTTTAAAAAGTAAAAACATCATAAAATTATTTTTATTTTTAAAATACACTACCTTTAATTATTGAAAAATATGATTAGCTTATTTAATTTCTATTATAAACCATTACCATTAATTATGTATAATCATCACAATCAACCTATTTTTTAATTTTAAATTTACGTAACCAAATAGGTTTTCATTTTATTTTTTTAAATAATTCTAAAAACTATATTATAAAACAGTTTTCTAAAACAAAAAATAAGGGGAAAAAAACCAGATAGGCCCTTAGTATCCTTTATAATGTGTGTAAATGTATGTGCGTAATTGTGTATATACATGATCATTACAATAAAAATAATATTAAGTGGAAAGAACATAATGCCCTTTGAACATTATTAAGTATTCGGATATGTACCAAAAAAAATTTCTATTCGGATCCTTGTGAGAAATACTCACAATTAATCATAATAATACTCAGATCTAATTAGTAATATATGATGAATATCATGTAGTTATGTGAGAAAATAATATCAATATTAAATAAAAATAAATATCAATAAATAATAAAATATAAAAAATCATAAATAATTCATATGTTACTGATTGCCTAGTTTGACACACATGCACACAAATATCAATGTATTTTTTATTTTTAAAATTAAAATATCTAATATAAGTTCTGATACAATTACACTAGCACACTTCTAGGACGAGTCAGAGAGCATATCAGCATATGGAAAGAATAATAATCACATGGTTTTGCATCTTTGGTTTGCCCATAATCCGTAAATAATTGATTTCCCCCACTTTTTTTTTTTTTTTGACTCTGTTAGGCAGGCTGTGTGGAGTCTTTTAAAATCTTGTCCGTCAAAATTAAATGCATTATTGTATTGATATCTAAACTGCTAGATTACTACATTACATTGAATCCATTTACTTATTACCTAATTAGAATTTTTTTTAATAAATCAAGTAGTTTGGAACATGACAAACTTACCATATATAAAAAATCCATTTCACAAATTCTCATGCAGCTGATTCATTAGATCCTGTGAACTGTGAATATGAGAAAATAATTTGGCATTGCGAATACCAATAAATATTGTTTCCAAACTAGGGTAAAATTCAAGACTACTACTTTTAAAAAATTTCAAATTTTTGGCCATAAAATTACTAGGGAAAACAAATTTTGAAGTTCTCAAAATTTCATTCATTTGCAAGCCGGTCATGTGTTTCAAGATGTCAAATATATTATTTTCATTCTTTGAATGTATTAAATAAATCATTTTAAAATATTAAGTAAATTCAGTCTAAAGTTTTGCATCAGCTTCAAAAGTAATAGTTAACAAAGACAACTGGAGGACTATGGGTGGTTGAGAAAGGGGTGGAATTATACTTAAACTTAAGCATTTCAACTTCGTAACCATTACCTTTATACAAAAATTATTGGCTGTTTCTCTTTTTGTTTTTCATTCATTCCTCTTGGTGTAAGGGTGGGTTTGAAAAAAAAAATGATGAAGAGTAAAATACATTAATTTTCTTCTAGTTTTGCCAAAATTATTAAACAAGTAAAACTTAAATAAAATTCAATAAATTACTTCGTTAGTAATGGAATTGTGAGACCTAACTTTATAAGAAGTTTATATTTTTAGTTAATCAAATAAGAGAAATTTCACAATTAAGTTTAACTTTCCCTCCTACTTACCCCTAACTAATTGACCTTATTATATATAAATAACCAGGTGGAGTGTTTAATACAAGTATAAGGGTATTTCAATTAATTTAATTATTCAATAATCTTCTTCGATGTGAATTGTTCTGGTTATCATTGAAGGCTAATCTAACGAACCATGAGACATGCTAATTGGAAAAGGTTGACTACGGCTTATAAAACCCTCTGTGATTGGTTCAGCTAAAAGTGTCAGTCCACACGTGTCCACAAAATCTCCATTCGGTCAAACCCAAACCAAAATTTACTACTGCTCACTCCCTCCTCGTGCTTCTTTTTACTCACGTCTCTCTCCCTCTCTCGCTTCTTCTCTCTTCATTATAGGGTTTGCTTTTTCTCTCACCTCCCCTCTTTCTTGGTCTATGTCTATTCCCTCGAAGACTTGAAACTTTTCTTCCCGGAAGTTCCTGTAATCGTCTTGTTAGGGTTTCGGAACCGGTGCTACGAATCTTGCATTGCTGGATTTGATTGCCAATTCTTGAGTTCCCCAGTTGGCTGTCTACCTCATTCGGAAGGAGCTTCGCTTCTATTATGAACCTGGCGGAGGAGTTACTGTGAACAGTGATGAGCTTCCATGCTTCTTGATTATGTATTGATTTTACTTTAGATTTTTCTATTTTTATGAAGGGGTGACTAAGAATGTGTTTTTATTGATGTGCCTGCCAGCCCCTTGTGCGTTGGGGACTTCGGGTGGGGCTGGATGTGTATGAATGTATCCAAGCTCATTAACTTCGTGGGGCAGTGAGCAGAGTTCAGTGGGGTACTTAATCGGTGAAATGTGTTTATTTTTTCCGGTTTTTAATTTAAATGTAAAGGGTGAAACCTTTTTCCCCTTCTGCATTGGCTTGAGCTGAAGATTTTTCATTATTTGAAATCGTAAGTGAGTTGGCAGATATAGATCACTGTAACAGTTTGAACTATAGTTCTGTCCATTGTTAAGGTTACATACCCACGGAGTTTTCTAGTTCATAAGTATATGCATTATTTGCTTGACGGAGGAGGCGATTTGATATTAATTTTGTGTTAATTATGTTTATGCATAAGTTTGCTGGGTTGCTGACTTTGTTTTGGTTTTAGCTAGGGGAGTAATGTGCTGAGTTATGGAGCTCAAGGCTTCAGCTCAAAAAGCTGCTGAGATTGCAATTGGATCTATTGGGCGTGGATATGACATCTGCAATGATCTGAGACTTAAGTACTGCAAAGGAGACCCCAAAAATTCACTTCTAATCGAGATAGATGAAGATGATGGAAGAGAAGTGGTCCTACCCGATGGGGTGTCTATTCCACATGTTTCAAAATCAATAAAATATGATAAAGGGGAACGCACTAGGTTCAGGTCTGACGTTCTTTCTTTTCAACAGGTAATTTTAATTGCATCTCTACGTGGGCAATTGTTGTTGTTATTAGTTTACTTTGTTGTTATTAGTTTACTTTTAAAGGAGGATCTATGTTTGGGCGACTAAAATAGAATGTTTATTTGTTAATTGATTAGAAACTGTGTGCATTCTCATGCAACACTGCACACATTTGTTTCAATTTCTTGGTAATTTAATTATGACTTCTTGCATGGCATGCTCTGTTCTTCTTAAATATCATAACTCAATGAGCTATAATGCAAAGTAGTTCTCCCCCCCCCCCCTTTTTGATAAAAAGATAATGCATGGTAGTTTTAGTTCTTGAAATAACCAGAAGTCCATAAATTTAACCATCCATAACAAAGAGGCTATATTCCCAGCTGGCCATCGGTGTGGCATGTTACTTTAAAGGCATGCCATATGGACAGACCTTAAACACAATTGTTTTCCACAATATACAGGTTCACATATGTTTTTTCGGCCCTCTCACTCTCACTGGCTCTCTGTTTCTTTGCATGTTTTCAGATGTCAGAGCAGTTCAATCAGGAACTATCTTTGACAGGTAAAATTCCCTCTGGCCACTTCAATGCCATGTTTGAATTCTCTGGAAGTTGGCAGAAAGATGCAGCCCATACCAAGACCCTTGCTTTTGATGGGGTATTTATTACTCTTTACACTGTTGCATTAGAGAAATCTCAGATGGTACTCCGTGATCATGTCAAAAATGCTGTACCATCATCATGGGATCCACCTGCATTAGCAAGGTAAATATTGGTCTTTGTTCTGACCAACATCAAATTTCTTGTCAAATGAACTATTATTAACCCTGAATTATATGTTGGAATCATGGATTTCTTGAATGTTGTAGATTCTTAGCCATTTGAGCTTCTGTGGTACTATGGTAGATTTGTTTATTGAAAGATGGTAGTGATATTTAGCAGTAGCTTGCGTGATATGTAACTTCATGTGGGTTAAATGGTTTGTAATTTATTTCTGTAATATGCTTGCCTCTTTATTTTATCATGTTTTAAATCCTCCACCTATAGTTATAAGGGGTTGCTACCGTTCCTGTATTGAAACTTATCTTATGTCTCTTCCAAAAATTGGAAAAAAAAATCTTTAGGACTTACATGTCTATGATTTATTGTCATCATACAGTAGTATTAAATGCTTATCATAACACAATAAATGAGCTTAAAAACACGATTTCCCCCTTTGGCCATGATTTAGTTATACCTGATTTGTTTCAACTTGTGGTTGCATCTGACCGACTGCTTTCTTGCTTTGATGAAGCCCAACTTCATTGAGTGGGAAAAAAAAAAGTTTTATGTTCTGCCCAAATTTTCTTGCTGATCAACATCTTGGTATATAAAATATTCTAGCTGGTAGTTCCCTAGTGATAACTTTTTAACATGATGGTCTCTTTGTGTGCCAGTTTGTCGCGATTGAAGATCTTTGTTTACATCGAACTATTCATTATCTTTGGTCTCCTTGCTTGAATTTCATTTAGATTGCGAATAGAAAACTTGATTGATGGTTGCTATAAGATCATCATAATTCATATGGATCTGTAGTCTCCTATGTTTCTAGTTATGTATAATATTTCTGAAATAATTTATCCAATCATCCTGTTGGCACCAGCTGGAGCCTGGAAGGGACATACAAAATTGAGTTCTGAAATTGGGTCAACAGGCTTGGTCAGACTGATGCTTGTCACATGTTTTTAACCATACCTTTATCTCAGAGTTGAGACTACAATTAATATTGCCATTCATTGTAATTTCAGGTTTATTGAGACCTTTGGAACACATATCATTGTTGGTTTGAAGATGGGTGGAAAGGATGTAATCTATTTAAAGCAGCAGCATTCATCAACTCTTCAACCTGTTGACGTTCAGAAAAAATTGAAGGAGATAGCAGATAAGAGATTTTTAGATGCCAATGGACAATACAACATTGCTTCTGATCAAGTTTACCCAAATGACAAGGTTTATAGAAAACATCTCTACGCCCATCCTCAATATGATTCACTTTAAAATCAGAATATTGAAATCGTTCTATTCCCCTTTTTCTTATTCTTTTTCCTCAAGTTTTTTTTTTTCGTTGCTTCTATGACATTGCAAATTAGGCACATACATGACGCCTAATCTCTTTAAAAAGTATTGGAAGAAGAAAGGTGCATAGCAATGAATTCAATATTCTATCAATGGTAACTTAGAATCCTATACGCCTTGCTCTATTTCTTTTGACATTAATAAAATCTCATTTTTCACAAAGTATTCTTAATGGAAAGAAGACAAGAAAAGCAGTTACATTGCAATGTCCTTGCGTTCCCATTTCTATCTATGGCCTATAGAGTTCTAGGATTTCAGGTGTGATAGAGGGCAGATGCTTCCACCTATTATAGGATCATTATGAACGTATTGGAGGACTAGGTTCTAAGAAAGGGGGGCCCATATTTGATGAGTAAGTTGCATCTGGTGTGGGTTGAATAAGGTCTTATCTTGGTATCCATATATATATATATATATATATATTCTTGAATCTTTTGAGAATAGGTGGAAGTTTGTCATGATTTAAAAAAAAAAAAAAGTTGCAATAATTAGTTTTTTTTTTTGGCCAAAGCAATAATTAGGTTGAATAACGCATTTATGGTATAGTGTACAGCATGCATGTGTTTATTTTTCTTGGCAATTGAAATTTTGAAATTTATACTAAATGAAGTGATCATGCAGACATCACATTACGACTATCTCTGAGTGGATGGCATTGAGATTTGATGAACTTCTAAACTCATATTACTCTTGGATGTCTTGTTGATTTTCCCAATAAATGGTAGATGTAACATTCTCAGTACGTGAAATAAATTTTTTTTACTCGAGGCATGCAAGTTTTTATATTTTATTGAATCAAATCTTCTCAATGGAACTACCCGTTTTGTAAGGGTAACTCATTTTGATTTTTATTGGACTTTTTGCTTCCCTTCAGTTTGGGATCAAGGAGCTGAGGTTTGCTAATATTAGTCCATCGAGTTCTTATTCTCATAAGGAGGTGAGCTTTAGAGAATTAGCCTTGAAATTCTTTCCTAGTTTATACCTAAACTAGTGTGATGTTCTTAAATTATTTTACTTGCAGGATATTGTAAGCATCTGCAAGAGGAGGGGTGGAAAAGATGGCAGAAGCTTATCCCATAATGGGTGGTTACAGACTGTTCAGTCGGAACCTGATGTAATCTTAATGTCTTTCATACCTATTACATCTCTTCTTAATGGAGTGCCGGGGAGTGGATTCTTGAGCCATGCCATAAATCTTTATTTACGATGTGAGCAACATTGTTTCTTACTTCAATGTTAGTATTTAATATCAACCTAGTATAAAAGGCTTCATCACTTCACATACATTAATCATTATTTTAGATAAACCGCCAATTGAGGAGCTCCACCAGTTCTTGGAATTCCAGCTGCCAAGACAATGGGCACCTGTATTCAGCGAACTACCTCTTGGTCCACAGCGGAAACAACAAAGTTCTGCATCTTTGCAGTTTAGTTTAATGGGGCCCAAGCTTTATGTAAACACCACAAAGGTAAATGTTCTTGATTCTTGGTGTTTATTGGTTGTGTTCGGGATTACAAGAAATCATGTTTACATGTGTCCATTGTTTTTTTTTTTTTGGGGTGGTATGGATAGTAGGTTTGTTTTTAATAGTGCATGTGTGCTGGTCCTCGATGAACTTGGTGCTTTTTCACATAAAGATGCATCTTTCCGTTATAATTTAAATTAAATGCATTCTACTGTTACCGTTGACTCACCGTTTTTGAAGGTTGGATGTCATGAAGTTTGTTGTCATCTTTTTTTGTTGTTTTAACTGAATATAGGAGCTGATTGGACTTCATTTTTTTATTCATGTTTTATTGTTCGATCATAGACGATCCTTTTTTTTTGGGGGGGAAGTATGCTAAAATTAGCATATTTGTTCATTTTGTTAACAGGTTGATGTTGGTAAGAGGCCAGTGACTGGTCTCCGTCTGTATCTTGAAGGTAAAAAAAGCAACCGCTTAGCCATCCACTTGCAGCATCTTTCATCTCTTCCAAAAGCATTTCAGCTTGAAGATGATCCAAATGGAAACTTTAGACGGGAGCACTATGACCGAAAATTTTATGAGAAAGTTCAATGGAAGAATTTCTCTCATGTGTGCACTGCTCCTGTGGAATCGGAGGAGGATCTTTCAATTGTCACCGGAGCACAATTACAAGTTGAGAATTATGGTATAAAAAATGTTCTCTTTCTAAGACTCCGATTTTCCACCGTGTTGGGAGTTGCCTTAGTAAAGCATCCTGAGTGGGATGGATCTCCAGGGCTGGCAGCCAAGTCAGGACTCATATCTACACTGATCAGCCAACACTTCACAGCGACATTTCAGAAGCCACCTCCACGTCCTGCAGATGTTAATATAAACTCTGCTGTTTACCCAGGTGGCCCTCCTGTTCCTGTTCAAGCTCCTAAGCTTCTTAAGTTTGTCGACACAACCGAGATGACCCGAGGACCACAAGAGACTCCCGGCTATTGGGTTGTCTCTGGAGCAAGACTTGCTGTTGAGAAGGGCAAAATCTCTCTGCGAGTTAAGTATTCATTGTTGACTTTAATACCAGATGAAGAGATTGATGATAATTAGATGGCTATACTTCCTGGTATATCCTTTGGTAGAATGCTAGTGGTATTGGGCTAAAGATGCTCGGTTGGAGAAAGAGGGGGCCATGTTTGTGAGAAAATTAATGTCAGTACTCAGTCTGGTATATAGAAGGAAAGCTCTTGTAATCAGAGGAATTTGAAGATAATCAAGAAAGATGACGATGGGAAGGACGGAACGGTGGGAATATTTTTTTTCTTTTTTTCTTTTCATTTCTTTTCCTTTTCTTAGATGGTGGCTAATTCTCTACGGGTTTAGATGTCTTCATATACGCTTTGAATTTTCCTGCAACTTCTTCCTTTCTGAGTCATGCGTTAAATATAAAGTTTAAGCATTTACAGTCCAGCTGCAGAATGACTTGTTTAGAAGCGACTCTCAGTTTGGTGGGTGGTTCTATGAATTCATCTTGTTTGGAGTCCAGGTGGGTGACACGATGTATCTGACAAAAATCGTGTAAACTGATACAGTAACATTCAAAATGCTGTCACAGATAGTGAAACATTGTCAAATCACATATAATGATACATCAATATATTGTTTTGAAATATCTAGTGCATAGTTAACTAACGCAAGGAGCTAATGAAGATTTGTCCCAGGGGATTTATGGGTGTGGGTGAATCTAATGAGTTTTCAATTTCATTGACTCATTGTATAATTATGCATCTCATTACAAGTAATGGAAACTATCTGATGGTATATTTTTCTGTGCATTGGGTTAATTAAAGTTTATTAAATTGAGTGGTTAAAAAGGTTTTAACTAAGGAAATGAAAACTAGACTGATCTTTAAATAGGCTGCTTTAAATAGGCTGGGGCAATGATTTAAGGATTGGTGGTTTAATTAGGGGTTAATTTAGAGTCAAGATCAGTTATTATTAAAATAATGTAATTTAATTAAAATCGGGTGGTAAAGTGACTAATTTGTTTAGAAGCAGTTTTTGGTTGCCAATGATTTTTCATATTTGTGATAATGACATCTGATTATTCTATGGACTGTAGCTTCGTGATAGTGACAGAAGCAGGACAAGTGTCCGGATCATCAGCAGGTTTTGAACTTGTTGGTGGATAATCATTGCAAATTAAGCTCGTCCACCATATTTGGGATTTACTTTTTTGTTTCTTAAAAAACAAATATTTATAAAGTATTTGAGATTAGGGTAGAAAAGAGGGGAATAGAAATTTAGAAAATGAAGTTACTGTTAGTTAGTCATGAGGACTTTCATTAGTTAAACAAGTAATTGAACATTTAAATTCTAACATTTATGTATGTACTCATTTTGTCATTGTACGTAAAAAGTTTTTTAGAACATTTTTTATCCTTTAATATAAGAGGTTATTAGTATTTTTTTTTTAATGAATGAACTATTATGACTTTATTAAATTGGAAAGATAAAAAAATAAGCATTTTCATTAATTTACTTAAAAAAAAAAGATTCATTTTTTATTTATAATAATTAAAGAAAAAATTAAAATATTATTATACTTTTAATTAGATAATTAATTTTTATTAGTTTGTGTGATTCAGCTAAAAGTATCTTATATATATATGGACGAGGGAGTAACGACTTGATCAAAAAAGATCCTCAGTACATTGGGAAAAATACCGGCCGGAACCTATTCCTTGTACAATTAAAAAGGGGAAGAAAAAAAAAACTAAATTTTACTCTTTCCGGTCTAAATTGCAAGACACTTCTAGCTATATTTTATATACCAATACAAGTAATTATTTCGTTACTTCTATGAAAAACTAACATGTCTTTCCCTTTTGCCATTAACAGTTAACACCATTATAAAGAGTGAGAAGTGTTTAACCATATTATACTCCCTTTAATCATATTTACAAATCACTTATGGCATGTTTTATCATAATTAAAAAAAACTTTAAACATCATTAAATCTTTCATAAAATTTGTTAAGTTTACACCTGTACCCCTAATAAGAACAAAAAAAAATTATAATTTTTTTAGCATTTAATAAGGATAGAAAGGTAAAAATAAATATAGAAAATAATTAAATATCCTATAAAATGATCAAAATTAATATTATCTTTCTACCCTATAAATAAGACTAGAGGAATCTCTCTCATGCCCACATTAATTCAGGGGTAAATTTAGAAATATAATTTTGAAAAGTATCAAGTGTACTATATTTTGAGCTAAGTTTAGTTAGGAAAAAATGCCATAAAATTCGGAATAATGGAATATACATTAATTTATTCTTTATATTAGTTTCTTTTATTTTATACTATTTTAACTTGAATAAAATTTAAATTCCAATGGTGGATTCGTATAGAAAGTAACTATGCAACTTTTGAGGCATAAAGCTTTGCGCGGTGTTCACGGAGCAGCGTAGTGGAGTCCCTTTTCTGTTGGCTACGTCTAGGGGTGTTCACGGGACGGGACGGGATCGGGACACCCCCGTCCCGTGTCCCGTCCCGAAAAAAAGATCGGGACTGAATTTTGGTCCCGTGTCCCGTCCCGTCCCGATAGTCGTCCCGTCTCGTTAAGAGTCGGGACGGGATCGGGACAAGATAAATAGAATAATATCGAAAAAAGATTTGGATAATATCGTTCATTAAAATTTTAAATCATATAATTTATTAAGTTTAAAATCAAAACAACACAAGCACATAAATAACAATAATTTAAAATTAATTATTGAATTATATTAATCATAACTACATATTATAATAACAAATACAAGTGATATTTATGCTATAAGATTAACAACAACAGACAAGTCAAACACAATATCAAATCATTATTCTTCTACTTTAGTGAAGATGAACTAAGCTAATTACTCTTCTAAAAATAAGCAAGAAATATATTATAAATAAAGGTTATTAAATAGATAGATATAAGAATAAATTATATTAATATAATTAATATATTATAAAGAAAGATATCGCCATATTTACTTCATGCCATTAAAATTATCAATATAAAAAAACTTTAGTTTTAAATAAGAATTACAAGTATTAAAATTATAATTGATATAATTAATATAAGTATAAATTATATTAATATAATTAATATATTTAAAATAAAAAATAATATATATAATATTCGGGACGGGACGGGACGTCCCGATAGTAATCCCGTGTCCCGTCCCATCCCGAACCCCTTTCCTGTCCCGTCTCGTAAAGTCCCGTCCCGATTATTTTCGGGTCAGGACAAGACCTGTCCCGATATGATCTGGATGATACCGGGCCAATCGGGACGGGTCTAGGCTGAACACCCCTAGCTACGTCTATGCTCAAGTTGGAGTTCAATTTTGCTCAATCCCCCCAAAAAAAAATTGACGAAACTCAACATATTTTGTGACCAATGGTAAAACATGAAAGTATTAAACAAAGTTTATACAAGGACAAAACTTGTCAATATTTTCAGACATCTATTGCCGGATTTTTTTAATAAAATTACATAATTTGCAAGATTGTTTTTCAAATAATCAATAATTTCATATAATATCATTGAAAATACCCATGCTATATATTTAGTTGTGAAACTATAAATAAATTCAAAAAAAAAAACTTTCAATAGTTAGCTAAAATCTAATGGAACCCCTTGCGCGATTCGTCCGAGCTCTAGTTAAGCAATGGAATTTGAATTTTTTCAAGGGGAGAAAAATAGGTTGAGCTCCTGAAAACGAGTGACACAGAGTGTAAGTATATGAAATTTATTCAGACCAGAAAAAAAGTAACAAGAAATTTAAGGTTTTTTCTTTAGATTCAGTTCCTTTTCTCTTAATCTCTTATTAAGATCTAAAAAGAAAGAAAGTACATGGAATTTGAACTTTACAAATCTCTAACTTCTTATGATCTAAATCTATCTTGATTAATTTCTAACCCCAAGAGCCAAAAGAACATGCATTGAAATATATATAACATAAATACTTGATAACCTCTGGTTGAGTATACAAAGATCACAGCTTATGGTAGAATAGAATTAAACCACCAAACAAAAGCTAATCAAATACAAAGCATTGTTCATGGGAAGGCCAATGAATTCCTTCCCTGGAGCAAGGCAGAGGAGCCGGTTTGGCTATGAAGGTTGGATATTGCTGCCCTGGCATCATTACTGACAAATCTGATGCATAAGATCCTGAAACCTGTCCCAAACATCAATTATGAAAATAAAAGCTCAGGCACTGCTACAAGGTTGTTGCCTTTTAGATTATCTCATTTTAGAGGGGGAAAAATGACTATTATTTTGAAGGTTCGGTCAAACCAGATGATCCATATTTGTTAATTTGTATAAACAAGATGGATCGGTATCTAGTTAGCTTGGATTTCTCCAAACTACAAATTAATCAGCCATGGTGTGTTTAGTAAGGTTCAAGTGCAAACAACATGAATGAATGAACAGAAAAATTAGGAAATATCAGGAGTGAGGTGTTATGAAGAGACTTACAGTTTGTCTATTTCCATGTTTTCTGGCTGTTCCTGATTCCAGGGAATCCAGCAAAGATTCTGGTGAAGAATACTCTGATGTTGGTTTGAACAAGTGTTCAAATATGGCCATTATAAGGAACATTGAGATCAAAATGGCTGTGGCAACAAAACCAAAAGAAATGGCATTCATAGATGTCCCAAAGCTTCTCCAAGGCGCTTCCTTGTCAATCCCTGCTTGTGTTGGGCCTGGTTCTGAAGTTGTGTAGATGTTCCATGGTTTTGATCTTTCGTTATTAAAATCATTCATGGTCAACCTCTATGAAAGTTTTCTTCCCCCTTTTCCAAACCGTTTGATTCAGTTTCTGATTTTGTGAAGACAGCTAAAGAATTACTGTCTGGAGATTACTGTAAACTTGTTAAATCTGATTCAGCTAGGGCTGCAATTCTTCACAAATATGTCTTTGTCCGTTTGAAGAGTTGTTCAATCCCCTGAAACAAATGATAGCCAAAAGATTAGCAATTTCAGATGCAGAGCTCACAAAAGAAAAAGAACTCTATTCTGAAGATATGAAATTTTCATATTATGAAGATGAAGATGAGTGTTAAAAATTTAAAGTACAATGAACCTCAAATCACCAAGGAAATGGTAACTTCTCAGCTGGATAAATCATCGTGTGGTCCATCGCCAAAAAACCACATCGAGGTAAAAAGTAGCATCATGATAGAACATTTTCAAGGATTTCTACTTTCCAGAAATCTTATATTTTTCTAGGCTTTATCATGAAAGCTCAACTCTGAAGTACTGAAAATTAGTTGGTTTCATGAAAATCATTCCGTCCAAGCAGAAAAAATACAACATGATCGAAGCCTTATATAACATGTTTTCATTTCCATTCCCAAAAATTTGGTTTAAACTACAATATCAGGAGATCCCCTAGTGAGAATAATTATGAAAACTCAAGCTAGGATCAAGCAGCATTTAATCACAGCAACAGTTAATGCATCATTAGCCATCTGCAACTACAAGGCAAATAGACTCAAAAAAAAAAAAAATGGAGAAATCAAAGCCACTTATGCTATCTTCACAGATCATGTAAAATGACATGTATAAGAAGTCATCCACACTCAAACAATCCAAGTGAAGTAACCATTCTTGGTGGAAAATATGAGAAATTCAGAGAAATAATTGATTGTCTAAAAGTACATGCTCCAATCCAACCTGTGCAAGTACATTTCTGCTTAAATGATGACAAAGCCGCAGAACAGAAAACTCAAGATAGAGAAAGAGGGTCGGTAGTTCCAGAAATGCAGTACAACAAGCAATTACAATGCTAGTGAGATGGGAATGGCATGATAATATAATAACACTGCTGATTGATGATGATAATATACTCCACCTAAATAGACCCTTATGCATCTTGAGTTCTTGTCATGGATTGACACGAATGAGACAACAAACTTACCTTACTGCTTCTTCTTTGTGATATAAAATGATTTGGATCACCAAGTAGGCTGGTTTTCCAGTTTCTTATTAACAGCTATCTTCAAAGCAAAGAACACCAAACTTCTCTCTAAGCGTCACACAAGCATGATGCTCACCTCCAGTTAGCTTTATACCCAATAGAAAATGTAAAGACAAAGTTATATGATAATCCTATTGGTACACTTTTCTATTTATGTTTTTCCATGTCGATGATCCTGATGCCTAACTTATTGAATACTATACATTGTCTGAAGAAGCAAACTTAAAGAAATAAAAAGAATGGGCCTTGCTGTCTGGAGAGCTAGAACAAGAATTTCCAACAAGGTGCTTTTAAAAGTAGTCATATTTTAAAGCTGGATTTCATCAAGGCTGCTCTTGTTCTTCTTAATCCAACCCTTTGAGTCACATGAATAGTGGCCCTTGGTGGGGACAGGTTCAAGCTATAATTTCAAACCACTCCAATTAGAAATGACAACATTCCTTAGATAAATATGAATCTAATAAGTATTTTGCATCTAAAGGCAACAGTTCTCATCATACACTATGATGATTTTTATGATTAAAATAAATACACCGAATAAGAAGTAGATAGATATAGATAGATAAATACCCACGAGTTTGGAAACTCAAAGACATGAGGCTCTTCTCTCTTTGATGACATTGAGATCTAAAGCTCCTTTTGATGGCATTAATGCTTGATTGATCCCCCCCCCTTAAATTCCAATACAACCTTCAAATGTAATCATGAAATATGGTTGCACTATCTTGCACAATCTCATAAAAATTTTCACTGACTAAAAGATGTGAAAACGAGGGGGGAAAGGCTGCTGTAATATATATATATATATATATATATGCGTGTAAATATTAACTCATACATTACAAAAAGAGAGAAGAAAAGAAAAAATTTATAGTAATGATTATAATAAATAATTAGTGAAAAGAGATAGAGTGTGTCAAAGATGGACATGTTACAGCTAAGCAGGAGCAGGAGAGCCATGATTCAAGAGAGGAAAGGGGAAACGGGTCTGTGGGGGGAAAAGGAAGAAAGCTAGTAAAGTGGTGATGTAGACCACTTTCATAGCTCATGTTTGGTCTAAAAAACACATGTTGAAAGGGCAAAAAATTCATAGCTTTTGTCAGAAACACAAGACCCAATAGGCATTGTGTTGTGATTTGCTAAGTTTTTCAAGCGAAACAAAATGCTTAAGGTCACGTTGCCAGCAACCCTTCCTCCGAAAGCATTGATGCCCACACATTACCATCAATAAAGCCTCATTATATATTCTTAATCACAAAAAACACTATGTGATTCAGAAAAAGAACGAAGCAATTATTACCCTAAACATGATTAATACACGAGAGAGAGAGAGGGAGAGAGAGATGGCGATTGCCTCAAATTCAAATGCATTGAGTGAACATGTTTTGTCAACGAGGCAATCACATCGTCTGAGTGAGATGAAAGCTCATCTGAAACAATCTTCCCCGGAAAAGGAGGGGGGAACCCTAAATATATACACAAAAGGGTTAGGGAAAATGTTGATGAGAACATCATTTTCACCTTAGAAATTGAGAAATCAGTAGGGTTTAGCTGTAAGGAGAAGCATCAATAATAACAGAGCAGTGGATGCTGATGAAGGAGGAGAAAATTTCACTGAGCTCTTCTTACTCTCGAAAAGAATGAATTGGTGAGGGCAATTGAGAAAAAGAGTCCGAATTACATAAAGTGATTGAAGCAGTAAGAAAATAGGGTTAGTTCAAGAAAAAGATGAATGTGACTTCCTGTTCGCCATTTGCATGTAAGACATTTTTTAAGGAAAAGACGGAGAGAGAGAGAGAGTGGTCCCATGACAAGAAAGCGCACTATGAGAAAAATTGGAGGAGAAAAAAAAAATTTGATACTATTGAAGAAGCAGCATGAAATATGAAATATTGGCGTGCGTTACTACTAGCTTTGCCTTTTTCTTTTCCGGTTTCGACCCAGGTCTCTCTCCTTTTTTTTTTGTTCCCTGTGACCTGGAGGTCTCTCTCCTTCTTAAGCAACCATGACTTGACTTTTTAAGTTTTACATTCACAATTTCTGCATATTCCAAACAAGAACGGTTAAATTGGTCGCAATCAATGTCTTGAGTTTGAGCATTTATGTAGAAAACATTGGTTCAATTATTTTTAATTACACCCGAAGATTCTTGAATCTAACATAATCAAATAGTTGTATAAAAAAATTAATATTTTCCTAACAATATATATTATTCCCCACATCTTAATTTATAAAACTTCTTTAAAAAAACTACATAACAATAAAATTTATTAAATATACTTTATAATTTTATTTTTTAAAATAAAAATATAAATTTTTAAAAATATCTTTTACAATTTCATTTAATACTCTTTTTGAAGGAATATTAAAAAGAGAGAATATGATAATAAGGATAATATTAAAAAAATATCGTTAATAAAATTTTATTTTTGTTAAAGTATTTTATATTTTAAAACAATAAATCTCCTATAAAAATGTCTTATAGATTGAAATGAAGTAAGATATTAATGTTGTTTTTATATGAGAATTATGTTGATCCTGGATATTTGCGAAGAAAATGTTACCTAATTTTTTTAAAACTATAGAAGCTGAAAATATTAAAAAAGAACTACAAGCATTAAAAGTAAAATCTAATTAAACCATAGGTACTGATGATTGTGTTTTCACTTAACAAAAAGGCATGTTATAATAAAACTTACTCCCTTGAATAATAGTTCTAAAGTATTTTTAGTTAGTTTATACCCTTTAATAAATTAAAGTAATTTAAAATTATACATTTTCTTTATATTTACTCGTATAGTAAATTTTTTTTTGTTAATAATACTTTTAGTTAAGGATATTTTTAGAGAAATATTATTAATTATATTTTCAAAAATTTAAAAAAATTATATTTTTAACATGATATTTTTTTAGTAAAAAATTGTCTGTGTCTAGAAGGACGAAGTCTTTTTCTTTCAGTTTTTTTAATTAAAATATACCTTATGTATTATGAAAACATAATTTATAGCTATATATATATATTAGAATATTTTTATTTATTTCTCAGTTGTATAATTAACAAATTCAAATATCCTTTTACTTTTCTGTATGTCTCTTTTACGAAAAATAGTTTTTGTAAAAAATTTGTATGGACCATATTTGGAAAGCTAATTTCATCAAAGAGAGAGCATTTTGCTTGGACTTTGTAGTGTCTTTGTGTGTGTTTATAATGTGTTGGATCTCAGTGTCACGTTCCATGTCTGCCTTTTATTCTTCTCACTTGGTTCAGTCATGATGAAGCCTCACCTGCTACCCATTCACTCTCATGTGTGTCAATCCTCATTTTATAGAAAAATTAAACAAATATCTTTTTTCAAAAACATATAAAAAAAATGTTTATTGTTGCAATTTATTTTGTGAAAGCAATCATATGGAAATTCAACTTCTTCAATAGCCAATCTCTTCGCACTGATTTTTTTTTTTTTTTTTTGTGGGATTCGGAACTAGGAAGCTCAGTAAAGGAGTTTACTAATAAAAAAAATTATGTACGTAATTGCTAGTGTTTGTATATTTATATATTTCTACTCGAGCTAATAAATTCTTTTCTCTCTTTTTAATTTATTAATTGTATAATTTTAGTGCTTCTTTGTTAGATATAAATCCTTAATTAATAATTATCATGTAACTTGGGACAAGCAATAAAAATTGAAGTTATTCAATGATAAAAATCAATTTGTTGAAAATTCAAACTCTTGGCATTTTTTTTTTACATATTTCTAGTCAATCTTAAAACTACTTTGTTTTCTCACTAAACATAGCTAAACCATCAATTCTAAATTATTGTGTAGTGTTTTTCAAAAAAGAAAAAAGAAAAAATTACTCTATATTAATATTGATATTGGGCCAATCCAATACAATGGGGCCCCTTTTTGGGCCATAATTGGGCCTCAACTATGCATTCCCGTGGCCAGTTGGGCTGAAGAATTTATCAGACCAAACGGTTCTTAATATCCATGTATCTAACTTTTAATTAATTTTTAAAACATGCTAAAATGATTTGTTTTCAATTCAATTGCTGTTGAGAATTGAGATTATAATATTGTGCTAAGGGGGTGTGGTGTAAAAGCACTCACTTTTTCCAGTTGAAAAAATTAAATTGAGACTTAAATCAATTTTTTAAAAACCAAAGGTAAATAAATCATTTCAAACACTTTAAAATTTATAAAGAAAATTCAAAAACTAGAGATAAAAAAAGGATATGAGATCATTTGTTCTGTTGACAACACAACTTTCTTAAAGCTCAATTGTCATCATCAATCTATCATTTGATTCACAAAAAGATATTATAGAGACAAATAATTTGAAACGACTAAAGTCTAAAATACAAATTTCAGTTGACAACCCATGAAATTTTTTTTAAGCAAGTGGCATGAATTATGAAATGATCAGTCGAGTCACAAAAAAAGAAATCTTTTGGCGCCAATAATCATAATAATAATAATTTAAAAGGAGAGAAATGACGTGTATCATATATTAAGAAGGATCATATTAGAACTATTTATTTTCATGATCAAAACTTAAACTCTGCTTTAAATTGTTCTCAATATTGTGATTAGGTACAATGAGACAACAATTATACGGATTAGAAATGCAAAAGCAATCATAACGAGTAATGACAACAATAAGATATGGAAGATCAATCTTCTGGAAGTGGGCCATATATTGTGGGCCTTGGCTATTTCAAGGCCCACTTTGTTATTCTTTAAGCAATGGTATGATTACAAAATAAAAAAAATAAAAAGGCAAAATAGGCATTAATTACCCTAAATATTTTTTTTTCAGTATATTAATCTCCCTGCCCTTGAATGATGTTTAAATCATATAAATATCCTTTTTTGTTTGTTATAGAACTCAACATAAACTTCCATACAGATGAAATATGATAAAAATATCTTAAAGGAATGATGTTGATTCCTTTTATTGGTATAAAATTTTAGGAAAAAATTCAAACGTATATATTTTAATATGATTTTGTTTTGATAGGAAAAAAAATAAATTTTATCTATTGTAATGCGATTATCATTTGAGGTAAATGTGATTTTGATGAATATATTTTAATAGGCCCTTTTGGTTATTTTAATTTGAAATTCATAATAAAGTCCTTAGAATTATATTTTTGTTATAGTAGCCAATTATGATTTGTCTTACTTCATTATCTATTACTAGCATAAATTATATATTTCGAACTAGAATCATTATTAAGGCAATACTCAACAAAATATCAACAGAACCTTAATAGTAGAGACCACGTAAAACAATTTATAACTAGAAAGGACCAAATATAAATTATTTGATCGTATCGGTTACATTGAAAATTTAAAAAATATATATATAGAAATTTAAAGTAAATTTTGTTTGTGT